TAATTGTGGAAAAACACCAGACCTGTAACACTCTCATCTATTTTCTTGAAAAATTTGTTGCTCTTTTACTTCTAAGGTTCCATGTTAAACCTTTGCTTAGCATATCAAAAAGTACGATTTAAACTGGGAATAGCCTTTGGCTCGTTGTGACAGCGTTCGTCAAAAGAAAAAAAAAACCAAGGGGTTGTAGTTTTGTATATGGTAAGACTTTTAAAAGATATGTAGCTTGAGGGATGTTTGAGTAAGTCCAACCTTGTGGGAAATCTAAAGATTCGCTCGAATTTATTGAAATACCTCAACTTTATTCCCTTATGGGTAATCTAATGTTAATCATAATGATATCGAAAAATGTCAATCGAGAGTGCGATGACAACTGACGATGGACGGAGTTGTATTTTAGGAAATTATACTGCTCCCATTATCCGAGGATGGGGACACATTCCTTCCTCGAATCCATTAAGGCCTCCTATAATTAATTGCTATGCTTGTCGTAGATGCAAAAATAAAGGACGATAATATTATAGGAAATGTTCATAGACAATTCAAGAGAAAAGGAAATTGAGGATGAAGAAGGGGGAAGGAAGGCAACTGGACTAGTAAGAAAAGAAATTAAACATACCACACCCACATTTTCGTGTCAATAACAAATAACTAGCTAATCTTACTACTTGCTGCGAAAATTAAGAATTTACGTTAGACGCAGACGTAGAAAAGAGATGGAAACTATTGTAACTCCTCGGGTAAGCATTTTCAAATTCTCTCTTCCGTATGTCAAAACGATTGCAACACCCAAGAAAAAAAAAAAAATGCCTCAGAAACCTCAGAAAGCATATTAAATTCGAAGTCGATGTGGTCGTCTAAGTTGGTCAATCCACCTATCCCTTGGAGCATTTAATAATTTAGAAAGGAGAAGAAATAAAAAATTCGATTTTTCCTACACTGAAACAAAATCTATTTCCCATCTCTCTTAGTTCATTTCAATAAAAGCTACTTTTAAAAACATTTTTTTTGTATAATTTTTTACTTTTTACTCAAAATTATGTTGAAAAAATTCGTATTTTTTTACAAACTATTTTTTGCATTTTCGTCTATCACAACTCAAATTATTTATGGTCTGAAAGCTTTATTCAAATGATTTCTTTTAACGACTTATTACTTGTCCTGTTCTCATTTACCTTTGCACAGTCCATTCTACTCTTGAAGTCCTTCTACTTGATATCCATATCAAGAAGATTGTTAAGGGAAAAATGCAAAAAAAAAAAAAAAAAAATTTGACTGCACCACATGGCTTTGCCATCGGAATTAAATTCGTCAACACGATTGGGTATATCGAGATATGAAAAAGAAAAACAAGTTGATTAAAACATTATAAAATATAAAACTGAGTTACACTAATAATTGTCATCGCAACAATATTCTTAACAAATGCTAAAAGAAAAACACCAAACCCTGTACCTTATAATTGATGTATGTAGTTTTATTGTTTATAAACCATTTGGGCAATAATTTTGACACTTTGCTTTCGTAAATTTAATTACGGGTAATGAATAATAAATAAAAGGCTTAGAGATCATAATTTTTACATTCGGAAATATTATGAACAATAAAACTAATTTATAATGTTATTGATGGTAAATTACGTATTATATAGTGTAAAAGTGTGCTTTCACTCGCATTTTATTATTCAAGCGCGAATGTACGAACATTTCAACAAAAAGCAATAAATATCGCATGGTTTTGTATTTGTATTTGTATTTCCTCAAATCAAATTCATGAGCTTCTTCTAATCATGCTTGTCCATTACTGCTATCTTGAGGGCACTCGTTTGGTTAATGAACAATCTCTAGCATTCTCTTCCGTATGTTGCATAAATAGTTGACATATTTCGGTTACCAATAAAAAAAAATCCCATCGGAGAATCAATTTATTCGTTTACATTAAGTGGGATAACTCAATGAAATGAGATAAGTACTTTTTACCTCTTTGGGTATATGTATATAATCCTAGTATCCGTTGCTTAAAGACCTTAACGTTCGCATTCAAAAATCCTCTCTTAGTTTTCAACATGAAGCTCCTTATCTGAATAGAGTTTATTTCATTTACAATTACAGTTTCATTAAGTGTACAAGTCATTGAACCATTGCTCCTCTATAGGACGTCTGCCAAGCCATTGCTTAACTCATGCTAGCGGCAAAATTGCGACTGAAGCTGGGCCATAACTACTGTGAGAACCAAAATCATTCTTCGTTCAGGGAACCACACTTATACCTGCATTCGTATGCAGACTTAGCACAAGTTAACCAGATCTGCCACCTAACAAACCATACGATGTACACCAGGGATGGTTGTGATATCTACTTTGAGTCAGAATCTCGGGAAATTCAATTCTGCTTTCTTCTCCTATTTTTGGCAGACGGAGCGCTGACAACGCTCTATTATAGTAAAGGTTTTAACATAAGCGAATAGAAGCGAAATTCTGAGTTCCAAAGAGATGTTAGGAAATCAGGAACAAAATGAATCGCATGAGTGTAGTTAAGATTGTTACCCTTATTTACATGGATGGAACATAGTTACCCGGAGAAATAATTTGTAGCTGGGACGCAATATTAATGGAGGTCCGGAAAATACCAATTTTCTTGTAAAAAGAGCCATCTGGTTACATAAGTCACTTTCCTAGCGAATAATGCGAATTAATGGAAGCAAAATTCAAAGATGTTCGCATGAGGGTAACGGTTTTCATTTAACCCTTTTTTCTTTGTCCAGACACTAAGGGTAGGCGATTGCAGACCAGTAAAGTGGTCAGCAAGAGTGAGAATTTATATATGAGCGATATTTTTTCCGATAATTAACATCGATGCTACAGCACAGTAGGATAAATTTAGCGAAGTAAGACTGTAGGCAAGCATAAAAAACTGATAGGTCTGATGAAGGAAATCAAACTCTTAGTAAATTCCACGTTAGATCGTCGTTGTACAAAAAAAAGGGTTTTCCAGGCTTTTTCATGATCTCTTTTGAATAGTTCCAGCCTATCACTTTTCAAACTCATGCAAATTGATTTAGGGAACAACTAGCTCAGCTTCTATTAAAGCCTTCGTCATTATTCTTGTTATAGGTTAAAGCAAACGATATCTGCTTACATACTTACACCAATACAAAAGAACAATTGCACACCCTCATCTAATCAGACTGATACGCGTAGGTTTCTTTATATATTTTATTTTATAAAAAAAAAAAAAAAAAAAAAAATAAAAAATTGCATAACTACTTAAAAATATAATTTCGTAAATCGATTAAGCGCAGGAAATATAAAATCATTGACATGATAAGCAATGTTCACTTAACGGTTATAGGCTTAATTAAAACGCTGACACATATCTACAAACACTACACATGTATGAATAACTTTGTATGCATCAGTCTATATATGTCAGCATTATTTTTAGGTTACTTTTCAATTCCAATAAATTTATCTCCGAAATATCTCCAAAGCGAAAAATTGTTATTAAACAATAACAGAAATAAGTGAAATATTTTTTTAACCAAACGAACTAGTTTTTAATTACATGTCATTTATATAGAAAAGGTAAACATTGAACGATTGCGAGAGAATTGGAGAAGAGAGGGAGAGAGAGAGAGAGATGGGGAGGGGGAAGTTACGTATAGAGGCAGGGAGACGAGCGTATAAAATCACAAACTTTCAATTGCAAAATAATTTTTTTTGTTTTTTTTTTTGTTTTATAAAAAAGGAGATAAACACGCATTTCACACGAGATCCATGTGCTGCTACCGACTGTTTATTATTACTTTTAACACCACTTAGTGAATGTGAATAGAGGGACAGACGCATGCATGTGCCGTGTGCTGTTGTTTGTGTATGTATGTATGTGTGTTAATAGGTAAGCTTGATTTGAATAAATGTCTGCAAAGAATGCTCATAGGCTTTTAGCGTAAAGTTTGGGTCCTATGCATGCATATATATGCATATATTTATATATACATATATATGTGTTTGTGTGTATATGTTTTTTTATTCAGAGCAGTTAATTATCAAATGTTAACACACATCTTAAAGACCAAACAAAAAATACTATAGGTGTGGTTAAACACATACACATATAAACACACACACACACACACATACACACCTATATAAATATATTTTGAAAAATTGTTTATATGCGTAAGTCCATAAAGTCCTTCAATTTACAGAGCAAATCAAACACACCAAATTACATTTTTAAATAACAGGCCTAAGTATTCGTAAGGCAACAGCAACCGCAGCAGCAGCAACAGCAAGAGCAAATGCAATGAAAAGTGTCTTTGGCCATTATGTATATTTTGCACTGACACGGTTGCTGCACTTTTGACATACACTCCCAAAACGCTTGCCTAGAAAACAGTATGCATGCTGCGTTACCAATTCCTTAATGCATTGAGACCAAAAAAATACATTTCAGCAGTTTAACCAGATATTACGCATTTTGTCTTACGAATATAAGCGAATATGTTATTAACGATAATAGTTCGTTTTTTGTTTTTGTTTTTGTTTTCGCCTTTTCTATATGCATTTTTCAATTTACTGATAGTTTTGCCATTTATTTAAAGACTTGTTTCACTATGATCAGAGCGCAGCTCTTTATCAAGTTAAAGTGTTTCTTTTAATTTAGTTTTTTGTTTTGATCACGAATTAACGCTAACATCAAATTATTGACATAGATTTGTACAAAAAGAAAAATCAAAGTCTATGAAAAAAAATTGCAAAAATTTTTCAATTAAAAAAAATAAAACTAAACAATTAAAAAGAAAGACACGCAAGTTTTTTGCTTAAGTCGCTTTGGGAAACATTTTTTTAACCAAAAACAGAAAATTTCTCACCAGCTGTGTATAAAAAAAAACAAAAAAAGAAAAAAAAGGAAAAAAAGTACAAATCGATATAAAAGGCGTTTTATTTACTTTTAAAACTACACTACCAACTAAAGTACTAAGTAACTAAATCATACCTCGGCTAGTGCCTACAGGCTTAGGTATGTATGTCATTATCAGTTGCTTAAATCAAAAGCACAAAAGTTAAACTTAACGGTAGCTAACAAACTAAACAAAATTGATATCTATCGGATTTAATGCTAAAGCAAATATGCCGTTAGTTCATGAAAACCTTTCAATAAAAACTCTGCGCACAAATGTTGTTAAAAAGGTTGCAGCAATAGTTGCTCTTGTTGTTCGCTTGTTATGGTTAATTGTGTAGGTGTTGTTCCGCAGAAATAGCAAAACACTTTTGATGTTTTACTCCAATCATCAATCATTTTTATCAAAGATCATCATCATCGTCATCGTCGTCGTCAGTAGGAAAACAAACGAAAAAACCAAAAAAAAAGGAAAAGAAAACAAATCGAAACATATTAACATTAACGCGGTGTCAAAAGCTGTGTTTTTTATTTATTTATTTATTTTTTTTTTTTTTTTTTTTTTAAAGTCAATGACATATAAACCCTCTTCGGCTTTGGGTTTTCTTTGTTTTTGCCTGAATTGCATAAAATATGTTATAATCATTGTGTTACGTGTGAATCTTACAAAACTGACCGTTTTCAAGCAACTCAATCAAATTTTTTTTCTTTTTTTTTCATATTAAAACAATGATTAATGCTAACAACATATTATCTAACGGAAGAGCCATTAATGACTTACTCATCTCATTATACTTTCGTTTTAAAAAAAGTAAAAAATAAAAAAAAAACAACAGCAAGCCAACGCCCATCATTAAACACCCTTCACCACTTTACTTGAAAAAGTTGTTATTATATAACGGCATTATATGGGAAATGGTTGATAAAGTAGTTCGATCCGAACAATTTTTGATAGCATTCGCTCTTGAACGAAAACCTGTCGGTGCTCCAAATTTCATGAATGTATCTCAAAAATTGCGACCTGTAGATCGGATACAAGGATACATGACGGATGGACAGCCAAGTTCAGATCGATTGAGAATGGGATCTTGAATCGACTGGTATAGTAACGCATGACTCTATCTCAATTCCGTTTGGGTGTTGCATACATCCGCACAAATTTAATATACCCGTGCACCTTACAAGTGGCGTAGGGTATGAAAAAAACTTTCGGAAATTCGACGAGCGAATGAATATAAGGTAGACTAACGATGACCTAAGACTCGTCAACATTTTTTTTTTTTTAACTTTTTTCAACTTTTACATCTTTCTTGATGTGTGATATATTTACCTAACTACGCTTTAAGCTTGTCTTGGCCACTCCGCATTAGACCAGACGACTTGGTCAGCTTTTGGTTATATAATTTGAATTCATTCGGATAACATTCGCTCTAGTGACATAGTATTTATTGCATTATTATTTCTTTTCATTTATTTATTTACTTTTCATGTTATTTTTCATTTTTTTATTTGCGTTTTTTTTTTTTGTGTTTTTTATTTATTGACTTGACTTGAATTTTATTGCGTTTCACGCAGAATAACTTGAACAACAAAAATCCTTAATAAATACTTTTTATCTATTTTTGAAGTCAATGCAAATTATTTCTACGCTCGAGGATTTTAGAAGAAAACTTGTTTTTTCTTCTACTAAACGCTGCGTATGTATTACTGATTATGCTTTTAAAGCCACACTCTACATATAACTAATGTTGCTAAGCGTTGTTGTGTGCGTGTCTATTTTTTTTTTTTTTTTTTTTTTTTTGTCTGTGTTTTGTCGCTGTAGGCCAATCTTTTTTTCGCAAATATTTAATTCGATCTCTTGTTGATTACATCACAAATACTTCTTTGGCGGGATTATGATTTAATATGGCTTAGAGAGAGAGAGAGAGAAGTCAGTTAGACGAAAAGATATATAAATGCTTACACATACGAGTACATTTTTTTTGTTTTGCTGTTTTTCTTACTTAATTAAAGTTTGTTTTCGCTAATAGCAACTAAGTGAGAGTTAAGCGTGCGTTTGAACTCGTATTGCACAACTTAACTTTGAATTATTGAAAACGAATCGTGTGGGTTTTTAATGATTTGGGTGAAGACTTGTTTTTACATTTCTTTATGTTTCTCTTTTTTACAGCTTTGCTTTAAATAAAATTCCTACGAGGTGACCTTTCTTGTCTTCTGAACAATCACTTGACACTATTGTAGATTCCTAACAAGAATCCTAAATAAACAGATATCACAAATCCAGGACGATCACCAACCAGAACGAATATGGTTTTCCTTACAAAGTCTTTACCTGTTTAATGGCAGAAGCGCTTACGCCAAAGTCAATTTAGTTATAGGTCTCATTACACTGTTTATATTTAGGATTGGAAAATGTCTAGACATTCGTTGCGGAACATTTAACTATATTTTGGATATCAAGTATTCGGAATCAGATATGCTATTCAAAAGCTTACGAACGAAAAACGTATTTACCGTAACTCGTTTGTTTTCAGGAATGGCCAACTATATAAGCACTAAACGATTCCTATACGGTGCAAAGCGGATGTTAGAATTCCAGGGCAAACACAGCAAGCAAAACCGTATGAAATGCTTTTGCAAGGACTCGATCTGCTTACGGTACTGATAGTAAAAATACTGACTTAAAATTTTACCATTTGGCAGTGACTCGATTTTCTAACCCTAGTCTATTTTATATTATCATATGTATGACCGAGTAATCAAAGATCACGAAGGCAGTGTTCACAGGTTCAAATCGCAGTGCGATAGAATACACTTGTCGTAGGCGTAGAGAGTGTTCAATTGGTAAAACCGCAAGACTGCGGTCATTTTTGATCTTTTCACCTTTCCTCACTTCTTTCTGACTGTCACCGCATTACACATAAGGAGGAAATCGCCTGAGGAATTATTAAAGAAAAAAGTGTCGAATGAAAGTACTTTTCAATAAAAATACATATTTTGCGGCCATATTTGTTGTTTACACCTATACATTATTAAATTTTCATTATGAATTTATTTGATCGAACGTTTTATTAAATGTAAAAACTAACAACGTGTTAATAACCTAAGAGCGAAATGAAGGGGAACGAAATATTAGCTATTCTATTTTTAAACCTGTTAGCAAGGTTGCCATATTTGCATACATAACGATTAGGGAACACGGCTTGCTTTCTTATAAAGTGTTTTGTTTTATCGCGTTCTATACAAAAATGTTACTAGAAATTTCATATTCTACATTGATTTGAAAGAGTTCTCTATAGCTTCTTCAAAATTTAAAAGTGATGCCAAGTTTTTTCTTTATGGGTAAAAAGAAAAAAAGATGTTACTAGTGGTTTCGTTGTTGTACTCTATTTAGAATACGGATAACGAATGTGACAGAAACCCTGGTTTCACTTATATAAAGTTTACGAACAAACCCGTAGTCCTTCTTTACGATTAGCTTTTTTGACTTTTGCCTAAAGCAAAAACTTGGCATCGTTTGCTCAGCTGCAGAGCTGCAGCAATTCTATTTGGAATGGACTAAAGTCTATATACAAATTCATTTTTTGTACTGTGCATTTTATATAGAATGCGATAAAGAATAACAATTCATGGAAAACAAGTCCTTCAAAACAGAGAAAGGCTTGCATTGTTATGTTAGCTTAGTCTCCTTGTTTGTTATTAAGCGTTTTCAATAAGGCCGATAGCCTTCGAGAGCTTCAGTGTTTAGTGCTTTAAGATTTTAGTCTCGAAAATTTAGTCTCCTGACTAAATTAATAAAAAGAGTAATAATAACGAGATTTTCTTGAGAATGGTTTTATTGAACTTTGCTTTTATTGACATTCAAGAAATCATATGTTTTGAAGCAGAGATATCAAGTTAGACATGCCGGTTTAATAGAACTTCCATTTCTGTGAGATTTGTATTGAGAATGTGAATAAGTTTTGCTAAGTTTTCTGTAAACTTAAATGCATTTTATAAAAAAAACAAAACAAAATATTTTATTCAATTTCTTCTTCTATCCTATTTTTACCATCTCTCAGCCAGAATATGGATTCCATGCAGAAAGCTTACTTAATCTTTTGAGGTTTTGAGGAAGGGAGTCAATTTTTGATTATCGTCACAAAAATAGATAGCACTGATGATAAGATGTTGCTTGGTATTGCCTAAACCTTGAAGACAGTGGGAATAGTCACAATTTTATTTACTTCTTTCTATTATACCAGTTAAAGTCTTTCTCAGAAAATAGCGGGAACTTATTCAATATCCCAACAGAAAGAAGACGGCAAAAACACCACTGTTACGAATTACTTATTCCACCTAAGTGATAGCCATTGAAAAGCTGACGGTATATATCGGAATATCTCGTCGCTTTTACCAAGCGATCGTATTGCGAATGCGAAACATGTCTCTACCACCTTTGCGAAATGCGGCGAAATAATGTTTGGAAAGTTTCTTCTTCATGATCGTCCTTCGTTTCGTAGCTGAGCGATGTATGTAATGCTGGTACAATGCTTGGCCCAATAAAGAAATAAAGACAAGCGTAAGAATCTACTTGAATATTTAATAATGGTGCCACTAGGATGAGGAATAGCAGCACAGGTGATCTTGGATGTGTTTGACTTGCGCACTCCGACTTGAAATTCTGCCCCCTAACGCAAGGAACCAAAAGACTAAATGTGTATAGAAATACAATGTATTAGTGTATATGTATGTATCATGTACGTACGTACACATGTCAGTATGTATGTATATGTATATAGAAAATACTTTCTTGGCAATTTCATATATAATTTATTAGATAACAACCGGAAACACAAGATTGAATATAACTTAATGCTTTTATTTTTATAAATCCAGTAATGACTGATGATAACAACTCTTTTTAAAACGAAAATTCATTTATGCAAAAGACTTAAGCGACAAACTTGACTTTCCTACTTAAATATGCAAGTAAACCCTTTAGTGTTAGATACAAAAAATCGCCTTATGAGAGTAAAGAATTTTCATTAAGCGTAAATGAACAAGTTTTTTTTTTCTTTTTTTTTTTTTAAATATTTCAAACCTTGATATGAAATTTACGTTTCCTAGTGAGTAGGAGTAAGAATGGAAAGATAATAAACAGTTGCTTGTATGCGTCGCTTCCCTTCATTTTCATTTTGATTTTCTTTTTCTTCGTTTTCTTTTCGTATTATTATTATCTTTAGATATACATTGACAGATTATTATTGTACGCTTTTTGTCCCGAGAGCGTAAATGGTTTTACGGTAACTTTGCTAGACCTGCTGCCACCTATAAATTTGAATAATGCATGTATTCTCTATGAACAGAGCAAAGCTGGCTGATCACGACTTTTTCTCCTTACGATCGGTTTAACATTTTTTGTTTTTTTTTTTTTTAGTATTTTTTCTTGCTATTATTGGTAATATGTTGGTATAGATCGGTTTGATAGCTGAAACTGAGTTTTTGTTTATAACACAACTTACAAGTTTTTTTTTTTTTGTTTGCTGATTTTTGGATATAATTTTGTTTTTCATTTTTTCTTTGTGTCTGATGCGTGATGTTTTCACCTCATTGTCTACGATTTCTATGAAATAGTGAAGGGTATGAATGGTGCGGCGTTTTGAAAAGTATGATTTGTGTGATTTGCAACATTAATACATACATAAATGCATTAAATGGTTAAAGGGGATCTCATTTTGTATATATCGTTGTAACCTATAACCATGCATTGCTTGCAGTTTATTAAAAATTGCGAAAAAAAAGAACGACTCATAATAATCAAAACATCAAACATCTTTTAATAATAAATAACTTCTTACAATTTTTAGCGTTTTGTTGATTAGAAAAATAAATGGAAAAATGTAATTGATATTGTTGCACTTATGAAAAAGCCGAGCCTCTCTCTACTTTTACATTAACTTAATAGACCACACATTATAATATGTAATCGAAAATGCTTAGTTCCATGACCTAATTAAAATAAGTGTTAAAACAATCACATCAACATTAGTATGAGAAGGTGTTCACACTAACATACGAACAAAGATTGCTTAACACTAAACGAAATCTTAAGTTTATCTTTTCGCAAACTTTCGTGGTTTAATTAAATGTCGCTAATACAATAAACAAAACAAAAAAAAAAAAAAAAAAATGGAAAAATTTTAAACAAATTCAATTTGAATCACAACAAACAACAAACGAATTGTTGCACAAAAGAGAGAAGAAAAAAACTCATTCATTTTTATTTTCTTAATTAAGCTTTGTTTGCTTTAAAAGAGAGACACAACGTTACACATAAAGTGCTAATTAACGCCTCTGTAACTAATCACTGACTATAAATGTTCCAATATTCGTCAGCATGGCTAACAAAATATTTCTTTAATGCAAGTTAATCAAGTATAATAAGAAAATTACATTCATTTTAAGGTAAATTTTAGATACCTGTCAGCTCAAGTAAAAATCGCAGAAATTTCTACGGACTATTTCGTCAATCGAGCCATAAGCGTCACTTTTATAACGGACTGCAATGCAATGTACAAAGCACTTAGAAACAATTACTCATCGAGAAGTTGTCATGCATTAGAAATTTTAGAGCAGGCTTTGTCTTAACTAACTTGAAATTAATCCTCAATTGATAAGAGATTGTGGAAAACAGGTTTCACTTTTTTTTCCTCTAAAAATTCTCACAAATAATTAACAAAATTTAAAAAAAATTCTAATATGTAAACACACTTGCTTGTAAATAAAATTATGCTTTCAACGGCTTTATGTCGGTTTGAGTGTGTCGTTATCCAGAGTTTGTCCTTATCCAAGCTGAGTGTGACTTTTTTGCAATTAATTATGTACACATGGTCTCGGAACAAATGCGAGCGAAGCCAGAAATCGATTACATTGATTTTCTATTTTTATCAAGTTTATCATTTTAAGCAATAGATTCGTTACTTCACAAAAAATATCAATATTTTGTTATTTGGAAGCGGAGAGTTCCAGCTGCTTGTCACGTCTAGTCTAATGTCAATTGATTGAAATGGATTATCGCAGGCTGAGCGATGAAAGTGTAATCAGGATGCTATCAGCCACGCATAGAAAAACAGGCAGTAGAGTTACAACAGTAACAACTAGGGGAACGCCATCTTCAAGAGAGTTCTACGCAAGTCACAATCCTAAATGTTAAGCCATGGTTAGAAAGAAAACAATAGGAGATGGACATATAGATATGCTCAGGTACATATAAAGTTGGTTCTTACTAAGTAAATGTGTCCTTCATCTTCTGCAGTAGATACAAAAATAGATAGCACATAGTGCACATGCACCCAAATCGACAAACAGAAGAATCGCTTATCTTTACTTATCACTTACAAGTAGCCATCGTGTAGTAAAAAAAATTTATAGAATTGTCGAGGCATACTTGTATGCGCTATAAAATACATCCTCGAGGGTACAAAATTGTTAAACATCTGCACAGAACCTACCAAATTAGTTTGTATATGACAGATAAAGAACTTCAGAATTCTATTTTAGTGCGTTCCAGTTTTTAAAGTAGTTTCATAAACTATCAAAAACTTGTCCCGCAATTTTTGTTGCTTTTCACAAGTCTTTTTAGTTTTCTGCTAACGAAATGGAATTGAATAATGAATAAATATTTAAAAAAACAATTATAATAAATTTAAACATATCGAAGAACCAGTTGAAGGCTTATTAACGAAGAAGAAGCGACTTCAACTGCTCGAAAGTGCAGAAGGAGGGCATTCAATACCCGATTTGCAATCATTTAACAGAAATTTCGGGCTATAAATATTTTAGTTTCTCGTTTGAGAATTACTTTTAAATTCTACAAATAGAATAAGTGAAATAAGTGAAATATTCTGGGAAAAACATCACCATAAATAATGGAATATTTCAATAATAATTTCCGGTGATTGTTATTTTAAAATTGTCAGGCTCGTTTTTAACATATGAAATAACATTGGTCCAGCCGTAAGACGGGTTGATGAACGTGAGATTGTGCATTATGTCAAGACAACTAAGCTTTTCGGCTAATTTTATTTCTTTCTTATTTCTACACGTTCGCCGATCTACACGTTAGCTTTTCCGTGTATCCCAACTTCCCCCTCCTCTCTCTCTGTCTCACTGTCCGCCCATCTATTTGTCCACACATCTGTTCGTCCGCCCAATCATCAGTCCGTTTATCTATCCGCCCTTCTATCCCATCAGCGTGTGATTACTCAACAAATTATCAAAATAGGTTTCACTTTTCTAGTTTCAATAATATAATGAACACACCTTCAAAGTCATGGAACCATTATGGATTTTATAAAGAGCCTGATAATCAATTTATTTTCTTTCGCCGGTGACTTCTCTTTCTTAAGCAATACTAAGAAAATTTTCCTTACACTGCAGCAAAGTAAGTGATTTGGTGGAAAACACTTCATTAACATAAGCTCGGAGTTCCTAACAGAATCTTCGCATAACAAGTGTTAATATTATGCGTGCTGCAAAGCCTTCTTATTTTTATTTTTATATTTGTATTGACTGCAAAAAAAGTTTGTGTTCGATTTCATTGTTATTTCAGTTTTAATGTCAACGAAGTAAAAAAGCTGTTCATATGACATTTAAGAAGTTTATTGTTTTAAATATAAAACCTTAACCGATTTATTGAGTTTTTTTTTTTCAAATCAATAAGGACGTGAATTATTTCAATTTCTATCTAAAATTCTATTTGCTATCTATGAGCAGGTTTCATATTTTTATTATTTTCAAAACAAGAAAAAGAAAGATTAACGTTTTTTTTTTTTTTTTTTATTATCTCAGAGAGAGTGAAAGGTTGAAGTTTCCTGAATTCTTAGTCAACCTTGAGAAAGATGATAAGAGCGTGCAGTGAATGACTGAAAGATTTAGATGCATTAAGACACTGTTTGCATCCTTACCCTAGTCATCAGCAAATACACCAACGCAATGTGATCAACTGTAGTTAATTTCAAGAAATACAAAATGATGAACATAAGTGAATCTATTTGAAAACCTAAAACTCATCTGCCAAATACCTCGTCTTTAGTAAGTTGCGGCGGGGCAATATTAATAACTTCTTCCATCTTTTTAATGAAATTTTGTTAAACAATTTTGTTATTTTTTTTAGGCATAAGAACACAAAGTAATTTTATTCATTTCATAGACAAGTAAGGAAAGAATGTGATCCACGGATAAATCGAGATATAGTTTTAAAAATTACTGCCTTGACAACCATAACAAAACCTAAAGCAGCTGCTGTGATACTAAGAATCGCATTCAGAGCAAGATCGCAGCGAGGCCTGTCACATAGCAAAGTAGTTAAAAAGTGATTCTATCAAGTCCACATACTCGGATGGAGTTCTCCCGCAACCGCACTCTCAATTTACGATTTATAACAGTGAAGCCATCCAAAAGCTTCTAGCAAAAAAGTTTGCTGAACCAGTAGCTGATTCTTCTTTAAATCGACATAAATATTATCATTTTTGTGTATAGTCATGTTGTGTCACAAATTCGTTTCTCGGCTCATTAATTTCTTAGCTGTTATGTGTATTACTCTTAGGTAAGTTATAAAAAAAAAAAATTGTCATGAAAATTAATGCATATGAAGCTTGCATAAAAATCTTGCAATTTCATGTGAAAACTATATGTTACACCTGAAAACACGTAACCAAAAACCAGTAAGTGCAAGGTAGAAAAATGAATTGGTAGACAGATGGATGCTTAGACGGAAAATCGCGTAAATTGACAGACATATCGGTGGATGAGTAGAAGGAGTGGCACGCGGATAAATTGATAGATAGTTAAGTCGCCACGCGGATCGGCGGGTGTTTCAACCAGTGAAAGTAAGGATACATGGATTGGAAAACGAATGAGGAAACAGGTGAACAGATAAAAATACGGATACACAGACGTGATAATGCAACATGTCGACGTAGGTATATGTACACGAACAGCGAATCGTCTAGAAGAGGAGAAAACGAATTCAACGGAAGGATGGACTGGTGGTCTTGGCGATGCACACGTTCACCAATGGACCTTAAAGATTGTTACGTACAAACGTTTCAAGCGCAGTGATAAAACTAATATACATCCACACATGAGTGTAATGTCTCCGTGGGCTAAACGTGGGTACGTGAAGGCTTAACCACAAAATGTGCGAGAACAGGCGGAATTTGCAAAAAAAACACACTCAACACCTCGAGGATGATTATTCTCCGAGTGCTAGATAGAGATACGTACATGGACATATCCCACCGCTCTAGTGAAAGCGAAAGCTACCTTAAAAGCTCCGCGTTTGTAAGCATCAGGCATCCGAGCATGGAAGCAAGCCCATCCGGGGATTTTGGCTAAGCCGCAACCACCACGAAACAGCCACCGTGGATCAAATATAATAGCATAGTTATTCTGAATCGTAACTAATTCGAATAGCAGCGATGTCGTTTATATAACGTCGCACAAATCTTTATTGTAATTCTTCCGCCACCCACGCTATGGCAGCCAAGCGTCTAAGAGAGATCGTAAATTGAAAGAAGCGCATCATGACGATGATATGCCCTTTTTTATTTACTTATTTATTTATTTATTTCTTTTTATCTACTCAGCCTTTTATTTTGCATAGTGACATGTGCTGATAAAAATTTATTTGTGTCCACCTTTTTATTTTTTTTTAATTTTGTTTATTTATTCGCTTTTTATTATTCATAAATCATTTCTTACCTTTAATTTTCGTTTTTTGTTGTTGCTTTAAATATTGTACGAAAACAATGGTTACTTTATTCCAATAGTTTGTTTTTGCTTTATTTTCTAATTTATTTTTAATAATTTTTTCTTAATTATAAAAAGCACACAATTTCATTTTAATAAATTATTTATTTTTTTGTATATATCTCTTATTTTACATTCGGTTAGAGAGACGCACACGTTTTCAGTTCGCCAATGTCTTCGCATGCACTGAATCCGTTTTGATGCATTGCACTCTAGATGTAGTCTAAGCTAAGCCAACACATAGCAAACTCGTAGTTGTTACTGGTTTCGATTTGTTTTATTTTTGCGATTTTTTTTTTTTTTTGCTATTCGCACAACATCGCGAGAGATTTACGTAAAGAGATTGAAAGTAAAACTTGCTCAACTTATATTATTTATTAAACTTTTGTTTGTTTGTTTAAAAAGCAGGAAGAGACTTAAGAATTAAAGCAATACATATATAGATATTGTCCTTCAATATTACAAAAGAAAGTTTTTATTAATTTATTCTTTTTTTCTTAAAAATTCCTTAATTCGGTTTAAACCTTCTAAAGCTTTGAATTTAAAATTCGTTTTGATATTTTCTATTCTTGATGCTTGTGATGGTACAGAGACATTTTCCTTTTGATACAATAAACGACGACTCGTTAATCTGTGAGGTAATTTCTGCACATATGGAGAATCTTTTAGAGAATCGAGGTTGCAACAGAATATAAAGCCAAAGTTGGCATAATGAAATGTAGAACGAACATCCTTCAGCCAATCGATCTCATCGCAAATATCACGACAGAAGGCTACGTCATTGTAGTTGAAAAACTACACAAAGATAGAAAAATTAAAAATTTATTAACAAAAAACTAGAAGCAAAGTTGGCTTACCTCTGCATAAGGCGAGTTATATCCGAAAACGTACAAATCGGGATTTTTGTCATCGCTTGATTCTAAGTAGGTCCATACGTATTGCGGCGCTGTACCGTTGACAAAACCATTCTAGATTAGAATAAACAAAATACAAACACTATAACACAGTCCATCATTAAACACCCTACACTTCCTCGCGAATCATTTCCCCCCACCCTCGTCCTTGAGCCTAAGCACCGTCAATATTTAGTCGGACAGACGGACATACAAGCAGTATAATAATAGATGGATTTATCTCAAGTTCTTCTGGGTGTTGCACACATTCACCCAAGGGTGTTATAACCTTGTACTACAACAGTATAGGATATAACAACGTCAGATACCTCCGCTCCTTATTACATGATCCCATTCAAAACGCGATTCTAAATCGATTAAATACCTTACATAACTCTACCGTTAATTATCGAAAAAGTGGTCCGATCCGAATCATTTTCAAAAGCATTCGTCCTTGGCCCACGGTACATCGATTATCATTAAAATATCTCAAAAATTGCAAACACAAGAACATGGATGGACAGATAGACGGGCAGATGAGCTTAGAAAGTAATTCTGAATCGATCAGTATAACAGAAGGTGGGCCTTTCCAAAGTCCTTTTGGGTACTGTACACATCCGCAAAACTTGTACCACGAGCGGTGTAAGGTACAAATGTTTGTTTAAATTTTTTTTTTAATACCACAACGTGATTATGAGATTGAGAGCATACTAAATGATTGTTGTCTTTGTAACATCCGCAAAACTCATGACTTTTTTTTAAAGTGCCCTGTATTCATATCATTGTATTAAATTTAATATATTATCAATTTACTGTAATTAATGAATACATCGCAATTATTTTTTATGAATGCACCATAAAAGTCTTCAAATTAAAAGATAATCAGTCTCTTCTGTAGTTCCTTCCGGAGTTGGATTTGATGCGCTCACAAAGATTGCAATAGAAAGGCTAAGCTTGAAAAAGGTGAGTATTCACGTACAATTTTATGTCCGTGGAAGGTCTCTGGCAGCTTTTTAGAAAAAGGCAGCGGAAAACGTCAAAAGTCAATAGAAAAGTCAATAAATATTCAGAGTATGGAATGACGTGATGCGACGCATATTTTTGAGAGGAAATTTAAATAGATCAACTTTTAAGATTCGCCTTAGGATGAATATGCTTTTATTAGTTGTTTGTACCTCAAGCTCCAAGTATTCCATTTCATTTGGATTTGACCACGACGGTATCTTCACCACATCTAAAGTGCCCATATAAACATCATAAGTGTTTTCAGTTTTTGTATGCTCTTCGAAGGCGTTTAGAAATCGCTGCCAATTAGTTATACGTAGATTATGCCACCACAATATATCCAAGAGTTCGTTATATTGTTTAAAGTAACGCAAATAAGGACCGCTTTGAATAATGCTTCCGTATTCATAATTTGCCAATTTTAGCCAGGCATTTGCATCACTTATATATTCCAGTTGGTCTTGTAATAACTCATTTCTAAAATGGGAAAATCAAAGCATTCCTCCGTCAGGTTCAATAGACACAACAATAGATAGAACGTAAGTTAAGAAACGTACTGAATATGAAGAAAACTTGGATTCAAAAATTTCACTTCGTTGGATAAGGGGCTTGTTGCTGGTAAGCTGCTTAATGTAATCGGCATTAGCTGTAAATGCACAGTCGCCAGCAAAATAATTGCAATTTATTTCATAGTATAATGTAATAATTTTCTCTTTTATTCTTCACTTACTTTTGTGTTCCAATTGTTTACCTGATGATGAACGGTTTTATATTTTACGGCTTGCAAAGAAAATTCATTCAAATCGTAACAGATATAAGCTAAAGTACGATTCGGTTTTAAATTTTTCGTGCTCAACGTAAATATTTGATGTTTGTCTCTGCACCAACTTTCACTTTCGCTTATTTCCATCGTCTCCCATTGACTTATAGACCATTCCACATCATTGCACCTTAGAGTGGTATGTGGCGAAATGATATTGTTATTGTATCCTAACAAACCGCCATCGCATGTAACGGTTAAAGTTTCGATATCGGATGGGGAGCTTGTTTCGCTACAATCGTCAAACTCAGTGGAATAAGAGCATCTAGGGTTTTCCTCAAAACTACGCAATCAAAAGAGTCCAATGAAACTTTTCATTTTTTATATTTCAACTGAGTGTTTTTACTTGAATTTAGTAGGACAATGGCCTTCGAATGTTTCACCCTCTTTCATTAAAAGTCCTCGGGTAATATATGGAATTTTAAACCAACGTTTGCCAATTTCTGTTTTCCATTCGGGTACGTACTCCATGTTATGTGGAAATTGTAAGATACAGTCAGACCATACCATCGGTAGAAGATAACAAAAAATCCATAAAATTTTAAATTTAAACATTTCGTTTTTTTTTTCTTTTCCAAATAGCCAATAAATGTTATTACACTCTTAGACAGTCACGAGGTAACTGAAAGAAATATTGTCGACTGACTGAAAATTTATTATTATATATATGACTATATACCTATTATTTTAGTGGTAAGTAGAAAAATGGAATAAAAAATTTATCAATTTTCTGTTGTTTTATTTTCCAACATTTATGTTAAATGCCTTTCTTCATGAGAGAGAACACTACGAGCGAAGAATATTGTTTAACGATAAGAAAGTTTTAGGCAAATTTAAATTTTTTAAAATATTTTTGGTGTATTCATCTACCATGATAACTGCAAAACTTCACATCAAAATCGTCTTGTCGATGAGAATCTGTTGAAATAGGAATCATTCCCTACACTAAGGACCGTAACTCGGATGAGACTATAGTGAGTAGCCTTTCTGAATACATTGAAAATTTTTTCTGCCGCTTATCTTTTGAGATGCTTCGAACTCTTATTTCCCCGTTTTCTTACTTGGTTTACTGAATGAATTCTTTAAGGAAAACTTGTAACTTCTCGATATATGCTTTTACGCGTTTCTTTTGTCGCCTTTCCGCCTTGCTTATAAAAACTTGAACGACTTTTATACGCAAGTTTCATTTTCTTCTAAAAGAGAATTTCTAAGCATGAACTGATGTATTAGTTGCTAGTTTTGTACCCATATATATGCATATATATGCATATATACAAACAGATTTGTACGGTTGGAGGACTAGTTGCATATATTAACAATAGGGTTAAGGTTGGGAAAGCATCTGCGTTTTTGACACCGTGTCGGTCATCTTAGTTATGCGTTAGCTAATCACTTTTTTATTTCTCTTTTTTTTACTCTGCTTTAGATTAGCCAATGATATTTAGTAAATAAACAAATATGCTCAGTGCCATTTACAGTATGTAAGCGATTTCATTCAACACATACCGTAGTTGCTTAAAACAATGTTCAGATTACAATTGCAAAGGGTTTTGTCCGTCCGTCTAGCCTTTTATAATAATGAATTGCAAAGTCGGAACTTGATATACATCCAACTGCATCAGGCCTTTTCCAGATCTATCTGAAAACTTAACGGAAAAAGCGTCAACAGCTCACCTGAAAATCAACAGAACGCTTTGCTATCAAACATTTTTTTTGGTGTTATTTTTAACATTTTTTACAGTGTACCTTATCAGAAGTCGTGATTCGAACTATTTGTTTTTTCTAATATTAGGGTTTTGCGATTATTGTAAGTAGATACAAGAACTGCGGTGAGAGTTCAGTTTAAATAGGGAAAGAGAAAGGAGGAAAGGAGGGACCGAGAGACATGTTGTATAAACTGAGTTAAAGTTTTTGTTAGTTCTATTCAATAACAGTCCACATATTCGCAGACGTCCTATCATCACATAACGCGATCCAAATTTTGCAAACTTAATTTACTTCCTAAAAATTGGTTTATTTTTCATTATATGCGATGGTATCCAAAAAACAGACCTACATAGCCTAAATTCGGGTAGGCTGAACTCCTTGTCCATTTACTCTTACGAAGCAATTTTTACCATAAAATATTGGAAATATTTTTTTACGATAAAAATCTTTGTTGAGACTGGTAGGCAATACATTGAAGACATATATATATGGACAGACATCGGATTGATACATAAATAGATAAGCTTAGATCAATACGAAAAAGCTTCCGAGTGGATCGGTGTAATAAAAGGTGAGTCATTCAGGATATTACATACGCCTTGACAAACCCAATATTACTTCACCCATAAGTGGTGTAGGACATAAAAAGTGGGAATTCATATACTGATAAATAAAAATTTTCAATAAGTCATCCCATTCGCCTATGAGACTGCAAGAGATTTTTCATCGCATTTAAAGCATCCGCACATTCGGACTGGAGATCTCACAAGACGTACAAGTTTTTAGCAAACTTTCGTCTGGACGTCTTGTAAGGTATTTTAATTTTTATTGCGGTAAAAATTCTGAAAGAAACTTGAAACTTTAAAACTTAGCTTCGTTGCAATTATTTTGTTACTTTTATAGAAAAACACTTGTGTACTTTTCCACTCGTCAAACTGAACAAATTTCAGTCGGTGCACGTATTCTATTTCTTGGCCGCGTCTTATTTCCAAATTTTTGTCGCATTGGACTTCTCTTTTTATATAGCCAGTCACTCAGCGAAAGTCGCCTATTTGTGCAATAGAGTAATGGTCAGAAAGAAGTGCATAAAGGAATAAAGATGAGTATGTAATGGCCGCAGCCTGGTGCTCCCAATCATTATAACTAGGACTTAAGTAAACTCGACGGCACTTGATATTTGAATCCGCGAACAGTGACTTGAAAGTCGCGATTCTTACCTACTCTGGCAATCGGGCGGATAATCTGAGGCGGTTAGCCAATGCAGTTAGCTAAAAATGTGAGAATAAGCGTTTGGTTTTATTCGGCTGCTTGAGACCCAAAAGTAGATTAGATAGATTTCGCTGGCAGCAAATCTTTTTTTTTTTGTCATACATGTTTGCTTAGCAACATCACAATTGTGCTGGTCCAGTTGCAATCAATACACCAAGCTTTAGCATCTCGATTGGTCGGTTATTAGTGTTTATTTTTCTTGATATTAATCAGAATCCATTAGTACTAATATTAATACTCCTGGACGAGCTTAACGTACCATTTGCTGCGAGTGACCTAGTGAAGTAGAGTAATAACGACAGCAGAGTGAACAAAAGCAGGCAAACACGTACAGGACACTCTTCTGGTATATTAATCGTAACGTCTTATGCCTCCACTAGTTAATAAATCAAATTTCATTATTTATTAAGAGATTACTATAATGATTTATCTTTACAGAAAACGTGTGAAAACTTATTCTGAAGCTTTAGGGAAGACCTAAGATTAAATTGGAAACATAATTTTCAGTTGTCGTTGGTACAATTTCCTCTGAATAATTCGATTCTTCTTCAGTTTCATCTGGCATTTCTGTGGTAGTAATATGCGGGAGTTTCTGTGCGTAGGCAAACTTTATAAATGAACTCGGTGAACAGCAGAATATAATGCCAAAATTAGCATAACCGAAGGTAGAACGAACATTTTCCAACCAATAAAACTGATCGCATATATCCGGGCAGAATTTCACATCGCTCAGCTCAAAAAACTGTGTAATAGAAGTTCAATGCACTTAGATGCATTCAATTTTCAAACATCATTATATACCTCAGCGTAAGGTGAATTGTAACCGAATACATATAAATCAGAATTGTCGTCGACGATTGATTCCAAATAAATCCATACGTATCGTGGTGCTGTCCCATTCACAAAACCATTCTGGATAGAGAACAAAATTGAATTTTATAACACATGTCAAAGTCAAGAAACCATGTATTTCTGTACTTGAACTTCCAAATATTCAAACTTTTGAGGATTTGCCCATAATGGGACCTGCACTTCATCCAGTGTACCCATGTACATCTCATAGCTATTATTAGTTGTATGCTGTTCTAAAGCGTTCAAGAAACGTTGCCAGTTGATTATACGTAAATTTTTCCACCATAATATATCCAACAGTTCATGATATTGATTGAAATAACGCATAAATGGACCGCTTGAAATAATGTTGCTGTACTCATAGTGAACCAATCTTAACCAGGGATTGCTTCTTCTTATTGCGTTTAAGTGAAGAAGTAGAGCTTCATTTCTACGACGAAAACAAAAAAAGACAAATTTTTTTCATTTCAACACGTTTACCAAAATCGGCGTTCAAATTAGTTGTCATCAGCGGTCTTCCTTACGCCATGTAATAAATTTCTTCAGAATGTCGTAACAATTACAGTTTGTATGTTGAACACAAATTTCTTGAGCAAATATCCGACAGACAGACAGACAGAGGTGGAGGTTAAGCTTACAGCTAAGAATAGCGACTTCCAAGTCTCAAGTGTGGTGCAGTTTACATTCGTCGTAGCTATAGCGAGTGCTCAGTCGGTGTATGTATAACTCTTAGTACCAGTTAGGCATACACACACTAGCCTGCGCCTGGCACGTCCCTCTCTCTTTCTCTTTCCTTCATTTTTTCTGACCGTCACTGTGTTACGCGGACAGAAGATGACCCTGAGTAAAAAAAACAGAGAAAAAATATCCCTTTCTAAGATCTTCAATAGACCTTCGAAACCGAAACATCTTAACATAATACTTGAAAATACTTTTTTAGTAATCGCTTTTTTTTTTTGATGACCCGCTATTCACAAGGGTGTAAGCACGATGACGGTCATTAAGAGAAAAATAGAGAAAGAGATTTGCTTTCTTATGATTAAACAATTGTGTTCACTTACCCGATATGAAGAGGTACTGTATTTAAAATTTTCACCTCACTAGAGAGAGTTTTTGGTTCAGGCAAATCATTTATAAGGAGAGGCAAAAACTGTAAAGAAACAAATTTATATAAGCTGAATATGTATTTTGTAGTTAAGGCGCGACAAGCCAAGTAATGTAATATATTATGGCAACTTTTCCATTTCATTATGTTGAAAGGAAGAAAAATACTTGAGGACCGTGCAATGTTCATCAACCATCTAGCAGGAAACTTCATAGGTACGCCTACAAAGTATACACGTTCTTGATCATAGAATAAATATAAAATCTCAATTCATTTAAGCATATCCGTCTGACCGTACATATAATATTAATGGTATTAAATAGGATATCGGGTTCGCATGCGGCAAACAACACGTTGGAAGTCTTTGCGTGAATTTTTGCGGTCGAAATAATAGGAATTGCTGAAAAGAAACGCCCACCGTACAGCGTTAACTGTTTGCCTTTTTTGAGAGGCAAAGAAATCGGATTTTTTGCTCATTACTCAGATATTGCGGTAAAAATTTTCAAGACTATTGAAATTTTCCGCTTTTCTTTGTGTTGCTTTTAGAGAAAAGGTTGTGGATGTAAAAGATTTTGTCGCAGGCGAATATAATTGTTGATGTCGTTTAATTTTTTCCCATTTTTATAAATTTTTTTCAGTTTTAAAAACTTGTCGCTACATTTTGTTGCTACATTTTCTTCAAAAATTTATTATATCTGCCCAAACTACTCACCCTATTCA